ACTCATAGTGATCCTCCTGTTTTAGCCTTCCAAGCGCTGGGATTACAGGCGTGTACTACCATGCCCAGTCTCAGTCACTGGCTCAGCGCGTCCGGGGGACAGAGCCAGCATGGCATGTGGGGGGATTGAACCCTGGCCCCTGCACTCTGCCTAAGCAGGCACTTTAGTCTGCTGAGCTATCTGGCTGTCCCTGCACATGGGATTTTAAAGACAAACTCAAGCCATATTCAAATCGTAGCACACTGCAGGATCACGCTCTGCTTTGCTAAATTTTGGTTATTAGAGACAGTGGACTACACAGCCAGTGAAGGGTGCTGCGCAGTGGTTAAGCCACTGCCTGGCAGGTGGCACTCAGCTGAGCCCTGGAGACCACTGTGGACAGATCTGTCTCTGCAGTGGCTCGCTGCAGTGTGTAAGGAACAGTCTTGAGCACTTCTACATCCAGCACCCCTGCTCCAAACATGCTGATTGTGTTCGCCTCTGTTTCCTGTTTCCTGAGTCCCTGAGACACAGGTGACAAAGACTTTCCTCTGACATGGGAAGTCCCTGCTCTGTCTTCTGTGAAATTCCCAAAATAAAATATCTTTACTGCCTTTCACATTTTCAAGACTTTAACCTTGACTGCATAATTTATTGACAGAGTAAATCTTGGGCAAGAGACTTAGCTGATCTGTAACAGGGGATTAGGAATACCTAACAATGGCTAGAACTGCTCTGAATGAGAGAATAAATGAAACAAGCGTGGAACAGTGTCTGGTGCCTGTTACGTGGCCCACACATGGGAGCTGCTGTGGTCTGCAGCGCTCGGAGGGTTGCTCTGTCTCCTACAATTGAACATATTCTTTCCTTGGGACTAAGAGCGGTCTTTTCACTGAGTCCCAGGTTTTGGCCACTGTACTTCCCCAAGCCCTGCTCAGGGCCCTTCTCATTCCCATTTTATAGTCTGAGCAACTGAACCAGTCACCCATCAAGATCTCTGAATTTGAGTCTCAGCCCTCAAAACTCTACTCTGTTCTCCACTTGGATAGTCTTGGGTTTATT